CAGATGTGCGTGTTATTGAAATATATTTTGTTTGGTCGTAGATCGTCTCATTTATGCCACATTGTTGATCTTGTTTTGTAAATATCATAGTTGAGAAAGGGTATGCTAGTTTTCCTGTATATCATTTCAAGTTATATTTCAGTACTTTTTGTTTGAAACTTTCTGGTTGGATAAATTCTGTATATCTAAGGGGCTCTTGGTGCAATTAAAAGATGGGATCCATCTGAAAGGATATGCATACTGTTAGAAAAAAATAAATTGTAAATTTATGTATATTTTAAATGTGGAATCTATTATACATGTATATATTTTTTTTCTATTCACAAATTTTCAAACATGAATTATTTCCCATTTGCATTTACTGTGGAGGGAATGGAAAAGAGCTATTACCATTGGCACATATCTTCCCCTGAAATATACAATACAAGAAAAGGTGTGATAAAAACTCATGTGGCAAAACAAATGTTTCAACAGGCTATAATTTAGGAGTCATTTCAGGGTTTTAGTCATGCGTGCTAGAATAAAGAAAAGTTCTCTTACTGTTTGTTGTCTATCATGTCTGTCTGTTTGTTTTCTAGTCCATGAGGTAATTTTATTTATTGTTCTTTTTATGGTTTCCTCTTAGTTCTTGTCTGAATATTTAATACTTTGAAATTTCATATTAACTGTTTTATAGAAAAGTAATTAAAACACTTAATTACTCATACACGATATTGATACAATGAAAAATTCTTCCTTTTAAGAACCAATATGACTGTGATAATAAAATGTACTTTAACCCCTACCTCCAAACATTATGAAATTAATTACAACAATTAACATTACAGGGTATAATGATGAAATTGATTTCAGACCTCACTCAGACAAAAGTCAGGGAATTTTTATATGAAAGTGTTGTTGCAACACTGAAATATGGTTTTGGGCTTACATTAATTCATTAAGCATGTTCCTTATACAGGGGGCAATCCATATAATCTGATAAAATTGCTTTGTGATTTCTTTGTATAGTGGTACTATATCCCCTCCCTCCATTTAGTTGTAATGTTGATGGCCTGCCACTACCTAGCTCTATTTAGGGTGATGTCACAATAAATTAGTTAATGCATTAAGTGTATGTAATAGGTCCTGAAAGACTGATGTAAACAAAGCAATCATGATATATATTACCCGAGTTACCTTTAGGCCCCGATATGTTAATAATCTGTTTAGGGGAATTATTGTTCAACCTGCAGGCATTTTTATTTTATTCATTATTTTCATCTATAATTGCAAAAATGAGTCAAAATGCAAGAAATCTCTAGAGCCCTTATGAAGATAATCCTGTGAAAATCCTTCAAATGAAAAGAAAAGGGGTTCAGCTGAGAGTGAATATTTTTGAGTGGCAATTAAGGATGTAGTCACTGCTAAACAGACTATTGATTTGAATGGCCTTACCTTACCACTTACTGACATTCTTTGATATTTCACATGATACATTACAATGATTATATTTATTGAAATCTGAATTTGATAATTTCTCATCTACTAGACTTGTAATTATAAAACTACAAAGAACATAATTACATAAGGAATTCTCTATCCATGTACTTTTACAAGTTTAAACAGTCAATATTTTGGCCTTTTCATCTTGGAGCTTTGTAAGACAAACGATTTTCTATAACCACAACTGAAGGAAGAATTGACTAGAGAGAGGGCTAAGAGAGTTTAAAATGTTTCGACAACTGCTGCTGGTATATTCTGAGGCCTGCATGGCTCTGTGGTGTTACATCACAGTACTGCTCTCAGATTAGTTAATTAAAATAGATGAGTGTCTTAATTGACAGACGCCCTATGCAAACACAGCCAAATAATTCAACAAGATGGCAAGCAACCTCTTTAGATGCATATGCTGATTCAGGGGTGGAACTGGTTATTGTCCAAGTAGGCCCAATATTTGTTCTTGAGAATGCTTACCTGGACTTGGAAGAGAAAAAATAATTTGGCCCGTTGTTTTAATTTTGGCTTATTCAAAAAATCAAGGTCTTTTTCCAAAATCACCAATTTCTCAAAAAGGAGTTTAGTTTTTGAAAATGGGGCCTTACACTTTGAAAAAGGCCTATTAAAGGGGGTTTGAATGGCTATGCCCACCTCATGTCATTACTGCTGTAGTTAATTCTTAGTAGAGCAATCTAAGTATAAGTTTTATGAGATTTTGGTCAGTTATCAGGAATCGATTTGTTCAGGATTGAACATAATAATTAAAGTTGACCTGAAATATCCGATGATGTAATTTGTGGAATTTTAATGGGAACATTTTTTCATAATTAGTTTGGATTAATTTTATATTCATTGATTAAAGCTGATGTTAAAATAAATTGTGAAAACAACAAAATGTGTTAATAATTATTACTAAATGACCAGATAAAATATGTTCATCTGAAAGAGCAATGAGAAATGAGGAAATATTATTGCTAACTGGGATTAAATTCTTAATTTGTATTTGATAAATATATTGAAATAATATTTTAAAGTCACATATCTTTCTTTATCTGGTAAATTCCAGTTCTAGGTATTTATTATTTTGGTTTCATATTCCTTACTATGGGCTGTTATGGGGTTTTGACATACTGATACACTCTCTGATCAAGATTTAGCAAGAAACTATCAATTGAAATTATCAAAAAAAAATGCCGGACAACAAAAAATCCTTGATTAGTAACAATGTAAGACAGTAACTGTTTTTATTGAAGTAATAGTACAAGTATTTGAATAAGTGGTATTATTGAAGTAACAGTTTTTAATTTAATAAGTGGTATTATTGAAATCAACAGTGTCTGAAATGTGTAATTGAAGTAATAAAGATAAGATAAGGAGACTATATAGTGACAACAGGCACACTTTACTGACAATTTACTGAAAGTTGAGCATGTAAGTAGTAGATTATCACCCATTACATTGCTATCATGATAAAACAATCAACAGCCAGCTAACACTAACAGTTCATGTAATCTTCCTGCTTCAACACAGTTCTAATAAACAGATCCTGGTAGAAGAAATCTGTGAGGGTTCTATGTTGAAGTTGCCTTATCTTGTATGACCACTTACCCCTTCCTCCCCACTATCTCCCTCCCCCTCTTCTCTTTTCTGAGTAGGAGAGAGAAAGGGGGGAGTCATGGGCGTAGGGCTATTTTTTGAGTTGGTACGCACTCGCTGATGCTTGACCGCGTGGCCCAAGGCCGCGCATCTCGGGGGGTCCGGGGGCAGCTCCCCCGGGAAATTTTTTTCAAATATGTTATTTAATGCAATCTGAGTGTTTTTTAACTTTAGATAATTCTATTCTGACATAACAAAATCGTTAAAAATACGGAATTAAATTGATGCATTTTAACAAATTTTATTTTTTTCCAATTCATTCGCAGTCTTCACCGAGGGTCTCAGGTCAAATGTAACGTCCATGGTTAACTGGCAAAAGCTCAGTTCAAGGCTAAAGCAAGCCTCCTTGGCTTCCTTCTCCTCCATATATCTAATACACTTTCTCTGTTGATTACAAAATCGTCCCTGTGGACATGGAGGTGGCCACAGCGCGTAAAATCTATCTTGTAACATTGATTTTAAAGGACCAGAAAAACATAACGATATCGATTGATATGCTTGGACAAATTGTATTAATTGAAGATTACGAAATATAGAAATTATCTGGCTATCTGAAGAATTGCCTATGTACACAATATTAACAATCATAAATAAAATACGCTTTTATAAGCCTCGTTTTTGAAAAATCTTGAAACAATTGGTACGCACGGGCGTTCTGTGCGTAACAGGCGCTACGCCCATGGGAGTCATTACAGGGTCTTAACTGAAGGCTAAACATATCCATTATTTAACTTGTTTTTATTCAAGTTCAAAAAGTAGCGAATATAGTGAATAATACAACAAGCATTATTTATATTTTGTTGTATTTTTCTATTTTTGGTTAATACCTGTTGCACTTTCAATGACTCTGCAAGGTGTTAAGCCTGGGGAAATATAATGAAATATTTGTAAATTATTTTCAACTCATGAAGTACTGTACTCAACTACCATTGATTCATATTACGCTGTTAAGTTCTGTATTGTACCAAAACATTGTATATAATACAAATACATTGTGTATTATGCCATTTAAGAACTCTTCAAACACCAAGTAAAGAATTACCGAACTGAATGTGTTTGCAAAACAGAACGAAAATACAGAAACAGAACTAAGATAGGACCTCTGTGTGTGTGGGAGTCTCTGTGGGTATATTGCAATGTTTTGGACTGGTCTGCCACAATGTGTTGTGTTCTTAAGTGGCTGTTGAAAGCCTGATATAGCACAGTTACTTCTTTGCAGACCATCATTAGACTATCATCTCTCTGAGGGTCTTTCTCAAAACCTTCAATGGACCATTCGGGGCTTATTCCAATATTGCATAAAACAATTTAATATATACATTTTAACTAATAATTTAAAATGATAAACAAACATAGTAAAACCTGGTACCTCTAAAAAGTGTTCCACTTGGGAGGTGTTCCACTTATAGAGGTTCATTTAATATTAAATTAGGTTCTTGGGACTCTTAGAAAGTGTTTCACTTCTTAGAGGTGTTCCACTTTACAGGTTTACAGAGGCCAGTAATGCTTTCAGCATAGGCCTCAGAAACTTCTAATAAAAAGACTATAACCCATATAATAAACTGTATTTTATAAATTTCTTTGAAACTCTTGTCTCAAGTACACCTGAACTAGGATTGAACGTATTGTATCATATGATGACATGAATCTCATTCACTCGCCACTCTATTGTAGGCTGCTGGGTAATTTTGATATTTAAAAATGCATCATAAAAAGAATATTGCTTTGAAGTAACAAATGCTGGTAGCAATAAGGATATTGAGAAATGATCAGTCAAATGTATTTTATCATTAATTATTTATTAATTATTTTATTGATATCATGTTTATCGAATTGGAAATTAATTGTTTCATTTTGTGTATTTTCAGATGGCAAAAATATCTCTGGATTCTAGAGGAAATTCAACTCAAAGATGGTTGTTAGGAAGACAACCATGAGACAGATTTGAGACAATAAAATATAACAATGGGATGAGATAACAATATAAAGTGACAATAATAGACATCCATATGATGAGATAACAATGAAATAAGACAGCAATGGGAGAGATGATAATGGGGTAAGACAACAACATGAGACAATAGGAGAACAATATGATATGACAATAAAAGACAGCAATGGGATAAGGCTACAATAAGATAAGACAATATGACTATGGGATAAGACAACAGAGGGATAACCAGGGATGAGATAATGTGACACTTGTAGAATATAACAGTGAATTAGAAAACAATGGGCAACAATTGCAGCACTTCTAGTGGCATTCAAGTACAACATATTAAAGTACATCAGTCATGGAGTATCAGTGTCAACAATGAATTTAAAACAACAATGACACATGCTGTTCCAAAAATAACAACTGCATCGGACCTTATGACCTGAATTTACCTAGAAAGTCACCCAGCACACTTAGAAACTCCATATTTACAATAATTCAAAACAAAGAAAACAAAACAATACTGTGCAATTGACTTCAGATCATTGAATCTAGATCATCCCCAAAATGATTCTCCAATACACTATTAAAATCTATGGATCTAATTGGTCGAATACTGTCACATGATTTATTCAAGATACCTGGGTAGAAACCTCTTGCAGCAAATGATACTGCAAAAAATGAGAAGAAGCTGTTTGACAGGCTAACAACAGGCCTAACATATGGGGTCTTGTAGCCTTGTGTTCTAAAGGGGTGCTGTGTCACTAGGTAATCATATCCTAGAGAAAACAACACATCATTTCCAGCATGAATCTTCCACTGACTGTGACTGGTAAACAGAGTGATATATTTATTATCAACATATCACTGTCAAGTTTATTTTTATGATTGATCAAATCAAATTCACTTCTCGTGACATGAATGATTGTCTTGTTGTTACGTCACTACCTCAAATGGCGACATATTGTCATGGTCTCCAACTTTTTATGGATGGTGTTTTGCGGTTAGTGTTTGGTATGCAGCATTCGGCAGTCAATGTTCAGCATCTGTAACAAATGGCAGGTGATGACATTTTGCAGATTTATGCCTTGTTTAGATTTTTCTTTGTTTTAAGGGCCAGATAGTCAAAGGACTGTCCTGAAATAAAGTCAGAAATCTTGGTCTTTTCATAAAAGGGGAATGATATTCAGGAATGGAAGGACAAAAAATGTGCCATTGTGACAATTGTTTTTTGGAAAGTTAGTCTCAACTCATTTCTAGATTTTGCTGCACCTGGAAGTAACCAATCAGAATCTCTCATTTTTGATTAGATAGACAACTTCTCCGACATGGGATGAGGGTGATTGGATTTTCAAAAAATATGTCCACATGTTCTTCTGTGTGATTGATTTTACCTGGTGTCCTCATAGAAAATTAGTTTGTATGAAAAACAAGATCTTCTTTGACATTTTGAGGTTAGATGATCAACTGAGACAGATATAGATCTGAGGTTAAAACCTGCCCTGTCAGATTTGAAGGGCTCTATTTTTTTAGAGAATGAAATAAGGAGTTAAAAATAGGACTGTATTGTAAAGAAAGGTCCAAACATTTTGTCACTATGTATGCACAGTCAAAAATAAATTTTCCAAAAATCCCCCCCCCCACTTCTCAGCTTCCATATTGTCCCCTGAGCCTATGTTGCCAACTAAATCATTGTTGCCAAGGCAATCTAACTACACCCCCAATCCGCAATCAAATTATCAGTGTGGAGTTAGTACTAATTTAGTGTGGAATTAGCGCTAAACTGTCAGTACTGATTTAGTACCAATCGAGCTGTACAGCAGGTACAAAATTTGCACTAACTCAGCGCTAACTCAGCACTAACCTTAGTGATGACTTTGCACCGAATTAGCGTGGAATTAGTGCTAAGTTTGTATGAATTTTGTACCAACTTTTAAGAATAATCGGGGAGGAATTTTTGTATATTGAATCGATAAAAATGTATTAAATTGACATTTTTATCAAGATCTTGTTTTTAATTAGACCATCAAGGGAAAGGATTTTTAATGGTTATGATATCACATGATTTTGATGTATCTTGGTTTTTCTTCAGTTATTAATAATATTATAACCAAACAAGTATCCCAGCTATAATATCATTAAAAACATAATACATTATCTTGCTATATATAATACCAAATTATAACTTTATTCATCATATCATTTACTGGTCTTAAAGGAGTAGGTCCTATCGTATTTATCGTATATTATTTATCCTATCGTTTTATTTCCTTCAGATTGAAGATTTACCATAGTAACAGTAAATAACAGTAAATTACAAAAGACTGACTATTTACACAATGTACAAAAACTGTCCTTCTGTATATAAATGATGATGACTTCAACTCCAAATAACATACAACTGGTAAATGTCATTGCCTTTACAAGGGTATCAGTTCAAAGGTGTAGGGGTGTGTTTAGTCCATAATTGTTTTTGTCATTCCTTAATCATTCATTAATGCTAACGCCCTGTCATTGTGCCTTCTTATTCGCCGATTTAGTTCCCCTGATGTAAAATCGTTATACCTGAAATGATAAAAAAGAAACACTAATTTGAGGCTTCATCACATTTGCATTAAACATGCATATTCATAAGTTAAACCAATTAATCTATGATCGTGAATCGTGATTGCAGCTTACTAAGTACATCATATGTATATTTTCTATGTATAACATTTACATTTCCTAAATAGCGGGGATGCAATATTATTAAGGATCCAATTTATGAGATATCAAGAGGACATGCTGTCATTGTTTAGTATCTATAGGTATAAGGCAATCTGAATTAATTCTGAATTAATCAATTAATTTGATCAATCAATACATACCTCGTGAAGGTTGTTCATAGTTTAACCATCCTTTTGAGTGTTTGCTCCACCCCCACAACCTTTTTGTAGTTATAACTGATAACAGTTACCTGAAAATATAGTTTTCTATGAACATTCGCAGATTTGCTTACCGTAATAGTTAATGTAAATTAAAGTTCGAAATAATATCTTTGAACAAAGAATTCAGTTTGCATACACAAATTGTTTCCAATATTTTTACAGGGGCCAAAAGTTAATATATAATGCTAGATTATTTTGTCATAGTTAGGGTTGATGTATTTACAATTTCATTATAGCCCTGTGAGGAAGCATAGGCTATTAACATGTTGAATTGGTGATATGACATGAGGGCATGAATAAGGTTATGAACATGGTAGCATGAAGAAATGAATGGTGATATAACATTGGGGCATGATGATATAAAACAAACATGGTGATATAACATGGGAGCAGGTAATATGAAATGAACATGGTGATATAACATGGGAACATGGTGATATGAAATGAACATGGTGATATAACATGGGAGCATGGTGATATAACATGGGAGCATGGTGATATGAAATGAACATGGTGATATAACATGGGAGCATGGTGATATGAAATGAACATGGTGATATAACATGGGAACATGGTGATATAACATGGGAACATCATGGTGATATAACATGGGAACATGGTGATATAACATGGGAACATGGTGATATGAAATGAACATGGTGATATGACATGGGGGCACGATTCCAACGATACGCTGAATAAGCAAAATAAATTATTATTAGATTTCTTAAAACTGTTAAAACGTTTACTCTACGCACCTAGCCTAAATAGCTTTAAGTATGTTGCATTCCCGGTTGCATTCCACATTGCTGATACATGGCCCTCCATCCATTGATTATGTAATTATTGTATTCTTCACTGCCTTCACTCCTCATGATATGCATCAATGCCAACATCAAGTCTATAAAATAAAAAGGTAGCCTAGAAATGCATTGCCGATAAAAGAAAATGATCATTTATAAAGAATAAAAAAATTAATTTAACTGAAATCACTCAGAAATTACATTTTTGTCAGGATTGGCCCATGTCTGGCTTCATTCAGAAGACGTTATGCATTGCAGATTACAAATATATTTTTTTAAACTCCCAAAGAACTAGCCTATGCCCTGGACTTTTAAGACAAGACTCACTTTCAATGACTTTGAAATTTTTTTTCAATTCCTCCTGAATTCATTTTTATCTTTGAATTTCACCCTAGCCTATCCCATAGAGCCTAACTGGTATTTGAAAGTCTTCTATATAATAGGTGCACCTAACATATGGTCATTTTTTCATAACAAAACAATCAAATATATACTTACATTACAAGTGAAAATTGCAGACAGATGGCAGAGACTGGCACAGAAATCAAAATTTAAAATATGTGGCTTCTCAAACTTCCTGTATGAGTCATAGAATGTGTGACGTCATAGGTCAAAAGTTCAAGGGGATTTCCCAGGGATTCCCCTAAGATGTCAAACTCAATGAAGAAATCACAATAATGAAGGTTATTTATAATAAAATATTTCAAACTCTAAATAAGTAATATCAATATTGCTTAAATCAATCAATAATACTAATAATAGTCAGAAAAAAATATAAGTTTTGTTAGTGCTAAATCAGCACTTACTTAGTACTAAATTGGCACTGCTAAGTTAGTGCTGATTTCGCACTAACTGAGGTTTGTACTGATTTGGTACTGATTTATTAGCGCTAATTCCACACAAATATTATTTGTACCAATTCGGTACCAAATTGGCGCTAAATTAGCGCGAAAAAAGATTAGCGCTGATTTAGCATGGAGTTATTTTGGCAGTGTAATTGAGCATGGACCAGAAACTTGTAACATGAGCCAGGCAAAGACCAATGTTTGCATTGTGTTAAACTATGGCTTGTTTGTCCATTCTATAAGTTTTTTCTCTGTGCTTTTATCAGTTCAAGATCATGTTTATCATATGTCATATTGAAAGTATACAATATCTATGCTGTAATTCTCATCACTTGGGATTAAAATTGTCAAATATATTTTTGTAATCTTTGAATGTAAAATGTTTAGAAGTTGTTAAGTAATGTTTTGATTTTAAAAAGTCAAGCAAGAAAAGGGAATTACAATTAGTTTCCTACAATCTATTGGTAAATTAATCAATTTTAATTTTTCAATCAGTTTATTGGTTCTGAAAACTGGTTGCATATTGGGCAATGTTCCGAATGCCCAATCAATATATGTTTTCAACCTTACCCCAAAAAACCTGAGTCTGTGTCAGTATCTATCTGTAACAAATGTTTACACTTTTGTAACTGCATCAACCAATCATACATACTGTTCAACCAATTTATGCTCTTCGTTATTCTCAATGGAAGGATGGGTTTGATAGCTGTGAAATGCAAGCTGTAGTGTACAAGGCATCCTGGAGTGGATGTTGTAAGTTGTGTGCTACCTTTACAACATAAACACACCCTGCCTGTTCCTTTATGAGGAGAGATACATTTGCAGAACCTCTCTCCCTTCAGAAAATTATTAGCATTTATCGAATCAGAGACATATAAAACATGTCTCTGATTGAATAAGTTGATTTGTCTTTTTGTGGTTGTTTT